ATTCAAGTTTTGTGCAAAAACGCATGATCGCTCCGGCTCGCCTGGTGCGTTCCAGCCTAGGTTAATATCTGGAATTTCCAGAGCAAATTTAGCGGAAAGGCCCGTTAATGACTTGGTGCTCATTCTCTGACGTGATGACACAACTGGGATATCAAATTCCTTGCAGACCTCATTTTCCTGGACTGTTTTTGAGTTTATAACTGATTATGCTATATTCTACTATTGTTTATAAACGTTTTGCTTGTAATGCGAAACAATTACTGGATCATTTGTCCAAGACAAAATTTTGTGTGAGTAAAACGGACAATCAAGGAGAAGGTATTTTTTGGCAGAAGTGTGTTATAAAACGTTCACCGCAGGATAATTTAAATGAAAGGGCGGTGCTGAACTTGTCATAAATTGGAAAATAAGAATTTACAAAAAATTTTCGAGCAGTGCACAAGTCTCACTCTCCTCTCAGTTTTTAAAGAAGCATATAATTATTAAAAGGAGGGAAACCAAAAAGTTGATGTAGAGCTTTGATGCTGTACAGAAAACCTTCTGTGTTTCATGTCTTCTGCCAGTATTCATCGTCTCGAGTATGCAGCAGTAAATGCAGCTGTTACAGAAATTAATTGAAGTCACTCAAGAAGCACGTACCAGTGAAAAGTATATGCAGCGAAATGCACAAAACAATTAAATACAAAAACAATTTTTAACGAATTGAATTTGTGAAATGAGCAAGTGCAATTTAAGCAAGTCCATGTTTGTGATCCAGAAATCTTCTGTACTCGTTGACGGTCCTCCACTGTGCATTCCCGAGAATAACTTGAGGCCGTTTTTGCTTGACAAATTCATAGGCAACGTTTGGATACCAGTCATGCTTTTGCATCAGATAACATGCTACAAACATTGCGCTGCGCGTTCGACCCGCTTTGCAGTGCACATATCTAAAAAAGGAATAAAAATTTCTGAGCGAAAAGCCAGAAACCTGCGGTAAAGTGATAAGTTCACCAATTACCAAAGCGAGCAATTACAAAGACGTATAATTTTGATCACTTAACAAAAATCTATTGAAACCGAGGACATTAAAACTGTACGGACTATCAATGTGGGTATCCTTCGTTTGCGATGTTACTGGGATACTCACACACGCCGGGCTTTACTATGTCTGGCTATTCGATCCTAGGTTTCGCATTTGCAGTTAGTAACAAGCGCCTTCTTAACGC